TGTGGGTGTATATATATATATACATACATACATATGCATGTACATACATAAGCACTTAGACGTGGTATTTTATGCATCGTTGAAGCAGTCAAGTACCTGCAGCGCCGGCCGCAGTCCTTTGCAAGTGGAGAATGCCTTGCACAGTTACAGCATCCCAGCTTGACTCCGGGGTCATGCCTCGCTTACATCTTGAACTGCAGCCTGGCAAGGCTTTGCTCGGAGTGGCTCTGCTGCTTCCACCCGGCGTCCAGCTCGAGGCCAATGCAGACCCGGGGAACCTGAACCGAGCCGAAACCTTCTGAAAAGTTTCAGACTCTGCCAGCCGTCCCTTCCAAGGAACAGGGATAGCTTGTCAGTCGTTGTTTAATTCATGAGGTCCAGTCAAGGTTTCTCAAGCCGTTATTGTTCGAGGCCACAACACTTGCTCATGCTGCTGTGTGGTTGCCGGTGGATTGTTGTCTTGTTGTGGCTTAGAATCGCGATGCCCCAAAGCCGGGAGATGCCAACCCGTCGAGGACGCAGGCCTGGGGAAGCTCATAGGCCCAGAAGGCCGGGTCTGCCCTTGAGCCTTTGCCAGTCGAGTCATGCTCGCACACTGGTTTAGGGTGTTTTTGAGCGGGTTTAGAGTTTAGGCTCCCTAAGAATTGAACCCTAAATTCTTGCGGAAGGGGCGATTGCATTTCAAAAAGCCTTAGCCCAAAACCGCTACACAGGGGTACTGGTTTTGTCACTCTCTTGCTCCTTATGCCTTTGTTAAGTCGCAAGACAGTTGGTATCGGTTATAACTGGGTCAGTGCCCACAAATATTTTCCTTCTGAAAGCCAATGCGAGGTCCTGTGGGCAGTCCTCCCTTCAAGCCCAGCAAGGAGACCCAAAGCAAGGACCGAAGACCGCACCTGCTTCCATGAGCCGCAGCATGCAGTGCGCCTGGGATGTCTCAAACCACTGAACCCTCTCCTGGAAAGCTTTGGTTTTTGTCAGGACCTGCTTGCCTGGGCCCGGGCGGCCCGGCGTCGCGACAGAGTCCATGGGACGGCATTGAAACATGTTGAAATGGAGGGAGCAACTACTATGACCGAGCTCGCTCACGTAGTTCTACTGCAGAAGTGGCAGTGACAGGTGCAGGCGATTCGGTGACTTGTCGGCGTGTTTGAATGCTGTTTTCGGAAAGGTATTCAGAGACCTGGAAGTCGAGCTGTAAGTCTAAGTATCAGGAGCGATTGGGTCGTTAATCTTTGCGGCTACACTTCTGTCCTGTGCTGTCTGGGCTGAGAACCATTGGTTCCGCCCCTGCGAGTTTCGAATGTTTTCAAAAAGAACTCATTGAAGGATGGATCTTCTGGATGCATGGCATGTGTAAGACCGCTGGGTCTTGATTCCATGCAAGTAGACTTTCAGGACTCTGTTGAAGCGCGGAGGCTTATAGGGACCCTAAACCCTAAACCCTAAACCGGCCTGGCACCTGCCGGTCAGGCTTTTGGTCGCTCGGTGGGTGAGATGCACCGCGCGGTCGCGTCCATGCCGCGGCGTGGCTTCAGGTCTCTTCATGACTACCCATGGGCCCTAAATTAGTTCCTTTTGGGGGTTCATACATAGAATCCTATAAGGTGACCCCAAAAAGGAACTACTATAGGGCCTATGGCCTATGACTATAGGGGTTCTTGCACAGTGCGAGAGCTGAAGGCCTTCATCGGCATTTGCAGTAGCGTGCAGTAGCTTTGCGCCGTATACTCTTCAGCAGGGTCCCCTGAAACAAACGTTCGCGATGCTCGGGCCAGTGGGTCGGGGGTATGGCCGTGATGGGCTCTCACTTGGGCCAAGATAAAGGGGTTTAGGGTTTAGGGGGCAGCACAGATATTCGCAAGGCACAGCACCGCACTCCTTTGCACACATCGCCGAAATCTACATGTCTGCATGCGGGGGAGTTGGCCTCGGTGGTGCTGCAACACATTGCTGCCAATGCTAGCCATTTCCCGCTAAGGCATTGGTACTTGTGGTTCCTCGGTGTGCATCCAGATGCACAGGGGCAAGGCTGCCTTGGAGTTCGCATGGGTTCTGTCAGGGTGGCGATGTCGAGCTTGTGAAGTAGATAGACATGGCCCGTAAGTACGTCTTCGTTCCGGTGAGCTGTCTCAAACAGCAAGTATGCAACATGCGGAACAGAAGCGGCAGTGCACAGGCAAGCAAGTGCCTGTCTTTGTCACTGCGCGGAGGTGTGGGAGCAGCACTGCTGGCCGAAATCCAACAGATTCAGGTGGTGGCTGGCTGTTACAAGATTGTAGTACATTACTAATTACCTTGTTAATGAACGTGATATGTTACATTGTATTATACATCCGGCTGCATATGTGTTGGGATGCTGCTGCGCTCATTTTGGGGCGCCTTCGTACAGTGGAAGCCTTTCAGCGTGCGAGGACCGCGACTGGGTGCCCTGCTACTTGGACGGAGCCTCAGATCTTGTCCCGTTTCGCAGAGTCTTGCAGCAAGGGAGGGCGGCTGCAGGTTTTTCCTGTTACCGACAGTGTAGGGCAATGGTCGAACTAAGCTGGACCCTAAACCGAAAAGCCTACACTGTTCCAGTGTTGGAGTGGTCCACATCTTTCAGCCTCAGTAGTGCAAAATAGTTCAAAGATATTCGGGTTTTAATGTGGATGTGAACACACTTCTTTAGCACAGATAAACTTGGGCTGCTAGATGTGGCTCCCTGGTTTCTTTTCTATATTATGTATATACACATATAAACATAGAGTACATGCATACATACCCAGATTATACACACATGTACATACATATGTATACATGCATGAATGCATCCATCCTTCCATCTATCTATCGATGTATCTATCTATCCATCTGTTCATCTATCCATCTATATATCTATCCATCTAGCTGTCTACCAAGCTAGCTAGCTTTCTATCTATCTGACTATCTATCTATCTATCTATCTGTCTATCTGTCTATCTGTCTATCTATCTATCTATCTATCTATCTATCTATCTATCTATGGGTGTACAATCAAACTCTTGCCGCTGCTGTATATCCACACAGCTTCCATTGGAAACCCTGCTGCAACAAGGCGCACAACAGAAGATACCCCACTCCACACTAAGATCATGCCCAACCACAAATGTTGGAGATTGACTGTACTGTATCTTTTAAGCCATGAATCTGGATCCGTACAAGCTAGTCTTGACTCAGGAGACAAGCAGATGGACTAATGTCCAAATCTACTTAAAGAAGAACTTCAAGCTCGAGCGAGATGCCACGGGCCAAGACCGAATGCGAAGAACTCCAAGCCGTGAGCCGTCATTGAGCATTCTAGCTGAAAAATAACAATTGTATTCTGCATGATCGATTCTGGGCAAGAAGTGACGGGCGATGAAGGGCGTTTCGGGGCCTCGCCGAAGTCCAGACATCAACGGAGTTGTGCTGAGTTCGCGGTGCTCGCCAAAGACAAGCAGGGACGAATCCTTGACAGGCCTGCCCGCGAGTAAATCCGTGATCTGCAGCGAGTCGGCTCTTTTCCTTGCTGAAGCTGAGGTCCATGCATTCGTGAGTTCTTGAGTGCGTAGTATGAATCGAGCGGTGCTCTAAGCACGACAGTCAGGGTCCTTTCACAACATGCACGTGTGTCGTCGTGTCCGCCTGGAGAAATATGCATACAACTGTGGGTATATGCGTATGTACATGCACACGCCTGCACAGATTGCATGCTGGTTTTGTGTGCATATATATGTATATATACATATATATATATACACAAATATATACATACACTCTTCGTACATATTAATTCATGTTTGTACTGAATGATTTTTCCTAGCATGTACTTGATTTATGAAAGTGTTCATGTATTTGTGTATGCCTGCATGAGGATGTCTGCTGCTGCTCCAAGCCTTCAATTCCGAAGCCAACCCACCTGGCATGACACGATGCACCAGAGTTGTTGGCGTAAACTGGCGCAGGTTCGACCTCGATGGCGGCATGCACGCCATGATCCGTTTTCCAAACTCCGGAGCTGCGAAGCTCTAAAGATGAAAAAAGCTCCGCCAGTGCCGGGTTCAGCGAAGAGTGGATCGACCTCGGTTGCGTTGAACAGCCGTCCGTGCGCAAAACGAGGGTTGAGGGAAGGCCACACGTAGTCGCGAGGCCCGCGTTGAGCGTTTTGGACTGGCTTCGGGATTTGCGAGGCATGCCATTTATAGCAAGCCGCTGTATGTATGACAGAGCATCCTAGAACATGCCACGTAGCAGGATCGATAGCTTGTAGACTTCAGGCTTCGCCTGTCTACTTCGGTGATTTTGCACAAACCCAGGTGCGAAGGCCCCAGCGAAGGCGGACACTTGGTTTGCCCGCTGTTTGATTAAGTGTTGGGGTTGAAAGAAGTTTATGCACATTTAGAGCTCCATTGGAAGGGTGGCGTGATGTTGCTACAATATGCAAAAGTGTATCAACCATTAGTCGATTCTGTGGATGACATGCAAGCATAAGTCGATGACTCCACCTCATTTGGCACAGACAATCGTGCTCCTGATTCAGCACGACATATTCCACGGGCCTGCAGCCGCCAGCACGCAGCAGAGATCAGAGCTGTAGCAGAAGCTGATTGCTTTGCCTGTGATAGCTTCCGAAATCTTGGTTGCAGTCACGAAGCCTGCGAGAGGCAGCGGGAGCCTATAGTGAAGAGCCGTGATCTTCACTTCAAAACAAGAAGAGGTATCAGACACAAGACAACGCTAAGACACCTGATAAGCTTTGGAAGATTATGAAGATTCTCGACCTTCCCTTGCAGCCAGGAGCCTCCGTTCTCGATGCGAACCAGCGTTCTGCCGCTGCTATCTCAGCCGGAATGTATTGCTTCAGGGCATGGATCACTGGTTATGAGGATGAAGATGATGATCATAAACGTGAGAGCGGCCATGCTCACGACCACCACCGCCACCAGCAGGAGTGTGCTTGAAGTGATTGTGTCATCGCGATTGCCTTTGCAAGAGTGCTAGATCAGTGTCAATGGTCGGAGAAACCCGACAGTAGTGGGAAGCCATGGCCCTGGGGACAAACCGTTTTGACTTGGCTTATTTGAGACCTCCGCTCCAAGCACTTGCGCATTGCAGCAATCTGTGCAGCTACGCGTGCTTGACCAGAGAGGATCAACGAAGACTGCGGCATATGCATGGGAGGCTCCGTTCCAGTTGGTCTACAGGTCTCAAACATAGCTGACTAGGTAACCCCGAGATTCTGAAGGCTTACTACTGTTCATGGATAGTTCGTGAATGTAGCTCCCTAGAGTCGACTCCCTGCCCTTTTTGCCCTTGCGATGCGCTCATGCGTCCCTGGTGGTTTGTTTGTCAACTGTCGGTCCCCACAGCAAGGTCCTGCTGGGCAAGCTTGCATTTGCCGCGATGTGCCTCGCTGCCTCTTGGCACGAGCTTCGGACAAGTTGTTCCCCACCTCAAGAATGAGTTCCGAGAAACCAGCTCTCCACTCGGTCCCAATCCTGGATCCCCAATAATGTCCCTGCTGCAATCGGATAGGTGACACACGTTGCACTCTTCCGAGCCTCGGCAAACAGTTCTGCCTCGGGAATGCCATGAACGGCAGTAGATCCTAGCACTTTGCCTGCCCCTTCCCTTAGGAAGTCGCCTCGAGCCTGAAACACGCGTCGGCGTCAGTTTTGTCAACCCTTTCAATATTCCCTAACCCCCAGATACCTACTATATAGGGTACTGGAGCCCCCTATAGGGCCCTATATAGTAGGTACTTGGGGGGTTAGGGATTGCTTCTTCACTCCTGATCCAGCATACAATGTGGATCCTGAGACCGCAGGGCTGCGGAAGCTCACAGCCCAAATCAGGGTCCTTGCCCAACCTGCTGAGCTCCCGGTTTGGGTTTCCCTAACCGTTCAGGTACCTACTATATAGGGCCCTAGGGGGTCCAGTACCCTATATAGTAGGTACCTGGGGGTTTGGGTTTCGTTGGGCAGCAGCAGAGGCACTTCTTGTTGCGGCACTCGGCCTCGCGCTGTACTGTGAAGACATGTCGGGCCCTGAGCTTCTTGCGTCGTCTTGTGTTTACCCATGGCCCCCATAGTAGTTCCTTTTTGGGGATACCTTATAGGATTTTATATATGAATCCCAAAAGGGAACTACTTTAGGGCCTATGGGTAGTGCTTGCAGGGGCTAGGCTTCCTTCAGGCTGCTGGCTCAGACTTGCTGCAGGATTGACTGTGATGTTTGTCACATTCCTTTTGCAGAGCTGGCGTCCGAAGTGTGTTTCAAGTGGACATTTGCAATGCATACTTCATTACCTCATATTGCATGAGGCCCCTTTCTGTTGCTTGTTGTGGGTTACCCATGGGCCCGATAGTAGTTCCTTTTTGGGGTTACCTTATAGGATTTTATATATGAATCCCAAAAAGGAACTACTTTAGGGCCGATGGGTAGCCTTTTCAGGACCCTCCAATATGCGCGGGAAGGCGCTGCACGCGATGCCAAGCAACGGTTTTATGCGCGGGCCTCGTGCGGCAGTTCGCCGTCGGGCGGCAAGATTGGCAGCGGGTGCTATCACTTTGGAGGCATCGCTGGCTGAGGAAAGACGTAGCTGTGAGGCACTAAACTGAGGAGAGGCCTTGCAGCAAGCCTACCAGAGATGCCGCAAAGTCAGGTAAATGATAGTAGCGGTGGGTTATGGTCGTAGCAGTCATGATCAGCAGGGATATATGTACCATGGCTCTGGAGGCGGCAGCCGTTATTGCTGCTACACGCATAACCAGAAACAGCATACGAGCGGCCATTGGCCCCAAACCCGAAAGGTCTAACCCGTAACTGCTTTGGCCACCTCCCAGGCCGCCCTCGCCAGCGCCCAGCCATCCCAGCCACAGGCCCGGCCGCTGCATCCGGTAGCCTGCTGCTTTTTTTTTTGCACTCGGGTTTTCATCCCTTTAGGAGTATGACTTGTACTACAATGGTTCCTATACATGGATAATATGTATATATATATATATGTATGTAGATGCATGTATGTGTATGAGTGTGTATTGACGTGTATGTATCTACATACACATACATACATACATACATACATACATACATACATACATACATGCATACATCATGCATACATGCATACATGCATACATGCATACATGCATACATATATACATACCTACATAGCTACACACCTACATACCTACATACCTACATGCCTACACTCCTACATTCCTACATACCCATACCTGCATACGTGCGTACATAGGTATACATATTCATATATATATATATATACATATATATATATATATACATAGTTACATATACATATTATATGCATACATACATACATACATACATACATACATACATACATACATACACACGCACATACCAACACAGACAGTTCTTTTTCTACTTACATGCAAGCATGCATACAGACGCACAGGTGCTGGTTCCTCTTGCCTCTTGCCAGAAGGTTAGCCAGCAAGCGCAAGACCGTGCACAGGTTTACAGTAGTCTCTACACCCCTGCTTGGCAATCCAAGCACTCTAGATTTTCCTCAAGGCCAAGAATCCAGTGTTCATCAGTATTCGTGGTACTATGTCAGGCTGCCGCATCACCAGCGCTGCAAGACTCGAGGTCTCGCGAGCTCAGGGGTCTCGCTGATTGTACGAAAATCTGCACGCGATGCATCCATCTGCCGTACGAACTTCTGACCTGTCAAGCCAAGTGGTACTCGTACTTGTGGCGTTTGTGTCGGCGAGGATGTTGCAAGCGCCAGTGATGTACTACCAGGCGTGCGGGATGTTAGGGAGCCGGTGGTCACGTCAAGCCTATGCCCCCATGCTGAAGTTGTCTTTATAAGCCATGTTCCCGTCCGCCACTACATTTGATCGAGTATCAGATCAGCCAAGAGCAGCAGTTCTCAAGTAACGACATAGCTTGACAAGACAACAGTCACTCTTCACCACCTCCCTGAGCAATCAGGGCTTTGTGGTAGAGGGCGATGGCCTTTTGGGTTGACAGACCTAATCTTGCGCATTCCTCAGAGAGAACACAAGACTGAGGTGAGTCGCACCCAAGTGTCCACCTTCAACGTACTTCAAAGATAACTTAGCCCTTGGAGCACAACGTGAGCCCCCTTATTAACCCGAACAACCCAGTAGGTTCATGACTACAGAGTGGCATTGAATTTGTTCTTCGAGCTCACATGGCATCTGTTCTTCCTGTTCTCATTGCTTTGTCGTGCTCCCGAGCGTCATGGTCTTTCTTGCTGTTTCGAAGGCTGTCGACAAGCATGGTCATGCTACCCGGCCAAGCAGGTGCCACCGCCCATGTTGCCCGCCGCTTCTGTGGCCAACCAAAGTGCCCGCTCCGTGGTCCAAAATGCGTCAGGCCTGGCATCGGAAGCTCGTGCAGCGTAGCCCATGTTTTGTTTTTTGTTTTTTACGGTGCTTGTGGCTGTTGTTGAGATCTTGCGGATGGGTTCCTGGAGTTTAGAGATCGTAGATAGGTCCGCTACTGTAGGTGCCGTGTTGTTGTCTTGTAGTTTGTTCCTCTATGGAAGGTGCATAGACGACCAGCGTGTCCATTTTGAATCGGCTCAAGAACTTGATGCCGGGCAGTGCATTCATCGACGTTGCATGCACTGGCGGTTCAGGGCATTTCGGTGTTCTGCAGCAGAAGGAGGAATGATGATGGCTTAACACAGTCCACTCATGCTCGCTGTCGTTCCCTTTTTGGTCGATGCCCCAGACGCGACACCCAGATCCCCAAAGCTGCTTTGAGAAAGCAGGTCTGTCTGCTCCGGCTCCGCAGGCACGGGCACGTTTTGGCAGCTAAGTGGGTGTGGACGGCGCCAAGGTGTGTAGCGACGCACGGCATGTGAGAACTGATGTGTGTGTGTGTGTGTGCGTGCATACATATACATTATATATATATATATATATGGTAC